CAATAATTTTTTCTTCTTTTCAACCACACATTTCCCATCATATCATAATTCAAAAAACAATTTAATAGCCTATTAAGAACCTGTTTGGTACAGATTCTCATTTTCAACCACACATTCTTCAATAAAATAATATTTTCCATCACATCAATAATTTTTTCTTCTTTTTCAACCACACATTTCCCATCATATCACTATTAAAAAATCAATTCTTCCCCCAAAAATTCCTACCAAACAAGCACTTAATGTCTTTTTCTATGTACGAGAATTTAGGTTTGGAAGATCTAAAGAACACAACTATCTTCCTTCAACTAGTTGACAGATCAATCAAATACCCTCAAGGAGTGGTTGAAAATGCGTTCATTAAAGTAGGCAAGTTCATATTCCCAGTAGATTTCGTTGTCTTAGACATAGAAAAGTCATGGGATGCATGACTACTGATCTTAGATCGGACTTTGAAGCGAACGAGCTAAGCTTGATGGTGGATGATGAGCAAAAGAAGTTCAAAATTTATACTACTGTCAAGAAACCATCCCATGAAGAGAATAACAGAAGGTTAAGGAGGAAAAAGCAAAAGAGCATTTAAAATGCCAACATAAAAAAGAAGTTGGTGGAACAATTGGAAACATTTAGGATTAAAAATGAGCTCTTCAAGTGCGGAGAATCAAAAAGGGGGTTGTAATGTTGAACATTGTGATCAAAGCTTTAACGATAAAGTGCACTATGAACCACCATGATTAACTCATCAGCAAAGTGTAGCTAAAGACTTTAAATTGAATGCTTATTGGGAAAAGCCCAAATTCTATCCTTCTATTTATTATGCTTCATGTACTTGCATTGCATGTAGATTGATAGGTTGCATTAGTTTTTAGGCATATTTTTGTTTAATTAAAAGGGTCATCATGTCTATTTTAAGTCTAGAACAAGAAAACAATATTTTGAGTAAAAAATAATAGAAAAAGAATATGGCAAGGCTCCAAGGACATAAAAAAGGTTATCATACACACCATATTATAGATTTTAAACTATTTGTTGACTCTTGTATTTGTTTTTTCTTTCAAAAGTACGAAGATATCAAACGGGAGGAAGCTTAATAAGCTAAAAAATAGAAAGGAATGATTCAAAAAGCTTACTTCCAATATCAAACAAAAATTTGAGTACCTTTTACCTTTCTTTCCTTACCCCCTTTATGTTGCTAGTTTATACTTTAAAACATTGAGGGCAATATCTACTTTAAGTTTAGAGGTGAAGACAATATTGAGTTTTTAGTTTTATTATTTACGTGTGATTGTGTGCTTATTGCATTTGTATATATGAAAATTTTCAAAAATATTTTCTTGTTTTTATTTGTGTGTTTGCATGGGGTTAGGTTGTGAGTCGACAATGATGATTATATTTGGAATTATGTGTTGATCTATGAACAGTGGATATATTACATGCTTAGATTAATTGATTCTTTTATTCATGTAAAACTTGATACTATTTGCATAAATGAATTGATATAGCATTACAAAGTAATAAGTTGATTCATATGCTTGATAGATTGAAATAGTATAACTTAAACGTTAAATCCAAAAATTACTACATTATATTTAGACCAAATTTAGAATAGTTTGAGGTGGTTGACCTGTTGTACGAAGATATGGATATGAAAGGAGATTACATGTGTGTAAATTTTTGTGTGGATTGTCTAAAACTAATAAGATGAAAATTATGTGAAAATTGTAAGTTAGATGTTGAGTTTTTGAAAATGGATATTTAATGAGCGGCATTGCACAAATCATGGAAAGAAATGAAAAATTGTCTCATTGTGAAACATCTCTTTGTAACATTTATAACTCAAGTGATTAAGTGTGCAAATGTATTTAAAATTTAGTAACATATGGTCATTTGACTTGAGAGTTACTGACTTAAAACCCGCTATATGAATCCTTTTAGAAAGTTTAATAGAGAGAAGTTTGTGTTAGAAAAAATAAGATATTGGGTGACTTTGGCATGAGTTTTGAGTGGGACCCGTTTGGCAATTTTGGAAAATCAATATAGATTTGTGTTCTCCTCCGTGAGTACATCGAAATCATATATTTACTTACCAAAATTGATGCTCGGGTGAATGAGAAATTAAAGTTCAAAGTGTGCCACTTAAAAGAAGTTTATGTTGGTGGGAAACTAAAAAATATGCTTGTCCCACATAGGAAGTGGATGCAAAATAAAACCACTTTATAAAGGATTACACTTTAAAATCGTGTAATCATGTATAGCTTAGAGGCTCTCTCCACGTGAGCGCCCAGTGGATGTAAATCATGGATCTAAATAGGCTTAGGACCTTGAACTTGTATTTGGGCGCGACCTGTGTACACGAATGTCGGACCGAAAAGAGCGAAATTGGCCCCTCAGGAATGTCCACGTTTTGTTACATTTTTATTTTTCAACGACTTTTCATTTTTTGAAACTGTTGAAACTCCTGAAACTTCTATGGTAATTTCCATGATGTGAATGGCAAGTTACAAGATCCAAGTCTTTATATATCTCGGTTTTTTCCAGTCTTCAACACACGAATTTCATCTAAAAATTCATCTGCATTCAGTTTCTGTTTTAGTCTTTGTGGTGATATCGTTCGGGCACTAACTCAGTTTGTTGGAGTAAAATCTGTGATGCTCAGATTCTATTGTTTTGCTGTTGTATCCTAGGAAGTAGACGCTTAAATTATACCTCAAGCATGTACGGTGATAGGGCGAATCTATTTTAAGGAAACTGTGTGTAACACAAGTCTCGGGTTAAAAGTTTTAATTACAAAGAAGTAATAAAAAAAGCTTGTTATTTCTTACTGTAATTAACAAATCATAGGATTTGTTATATATACAAAAAATACAAAAAACAATGTGTAAATACGGTGTTTAAGCATACTGCATATACGGTATTCAAACTGCAAATCTGGTATCCATTCTGCATATACGGTATCTAAATTGTAAACCCGGTATTTAGCGTGTAAAACCATTATCTAAGTACTTGAAACACTTATATAACAATCTTAAAACAAATTCCTTTATTATAGATAAGTTGTTTCATTTGTTTTATTGAAGATTAATATTGGTTTATTGGAAATTAATATTTGTTTCATATTTAGAAATGGCAACCGAATCAACCAACATGGATGTAACCCAAGCTGTAGCTAATGAAAATCAGGCTGTGGGCTCTGCTATGGCTCAAGGGCCAAGCTCTGTTGTGGCTCAGACTGTGGCTAGATTGCCAAGTCATGTTGTGAGTCAAACAACTAACCATACCGTTATTGTTCCGGTTAATCATGGTGAAAAATCGAAAATTCAATGGCTTGAATTTCAAGAGGTGACGGTAGAAAATGTTGTTTTATCTAACCACCTTGAATCTTGCGATATTCTTGACTGAAAGTACTCCAAACTCCAAGAGGGTGAGGAAGATTTTCAAGCTGTTAGTGATCTTGATGCGTGGAAACATTCAGATTTTTTGTGCTGAAACTACATCATGAACAGTTTAGCAAATTCGCTATACAGTGTGTATAGTACTATGAAAACTGCTAAAGAGCTGTAAGAGTCATTGGACCGAAAATATAAAATTGAGGATGCCGGGGCCAAGAAGTTCATTGTTGGCTGGTTCTTGGATTATAAGATGGTGGACTCCAAAGAAATAATCAATCAAGTGCAAGAACTCCTTTACTGTAATTAACAAATCATTGGATTTTTTATATATACAAAAAATACAAAAAACAATGTGTAAATACAATAAACAATGTGTAAATACGGTGTTTAAGCATACTGCATATACGGTATTCAAACTGCAAATCTAGTATCCATTCTGCATATACGGTATCTAAATTGTAAACCCGGTATTTAGTGTGTAAAACCATTATCTAAGTACTTGAAACACTTATATAACAATCTTAAAACAAATTCCTTTATTATAGATAAGTTGTTTCATTTGTTTTATTGAAGATTAATATTGGTTTATTGGAAACTAATATTTGTTTCATTTTTAGAAATGGCAACCGAATCAACCAACATGGATGTAACCTAAGCTGTAGCTAATGAAAATCAGGCTGTGGGCTCTGCTATAGCTCAAGGGCCAAGCTCTGTTGTGGCTCAGACTGTGGCTAGATTGCCAAGTCATGTTGTGAGTCAAACAACTAACCATACAGTTATTGTTCCGGTTAATCATGGTGACAAATCGAAAATTCAATGGGTTGAATTTCAAGAGGTGACAGTAGAAAATGTTGTTTTATCTAACCACCTTGAATTTTGCGATATTCTTGACTGAAAGTGCTCCAAAACTCCAAGAGGGTGAGGAAGATTTTCAAGCTGTTAGTGATCTTGATGCGTGGAAACATTCAGATTTTTTGTGCTGAAACTACATCATGAACAGTTTAGCAAATTTGCTATACAGTGTGTATAGTACTATGAAAACTGCTAAAGAGCTGTGAGAGTCATTGGACCAAAAATATAAAATTGAGGATGCCGGGGCCAAGAAGTTCATTGTTGGCTGGTTCTTGGATTATAAGATGGTGGACTCCAAAGCAGTAATCAATCAAGTGCAAGAACTCCAAGTGATTCTTCACGAAATTCATGCCGAATGGATAATTTTGAGTGAAACTTTCCAAGTAGCTCAATTATTGAAAAATTGCCTCCCGCATGGAAATATTTCAAAAATTATCTGAAGCACAAATGAAAAGAAATGAACGTTAAAGAACTGATTGTTTGAATTGAAGAAGACAACAAAAGTTCTGAGAAGAAGTGATTCAATCCTGGTATTACTAAAGCTAATGTTGTGGAGCATGGTCAAAATAGTAAGACCTACAAAAGTAAGCCTGGGTCATCCGGTGGCAAAAGGACCTAAATGTGGAATTTCTAAAAAGAAGTTTCAAGGAAAAATGCTTCAATTGTGACAAAGTGGGTCACAAATCTTCGGAATGCAGATTGCCAAAGAAAAAGAAAGAAACAAATGTAGTTGACCACATTGCACATGAAGTGTCAGAAATGAATCTCGCAACCGTCAATTCTGAGGTGAATATGGTGGATTCAAACCCAAAAGAGTGGTGGATTGACATCGAAGCTACGGGCATGTGTGTTCTGATAAAGAACTATTTACGGCTTTCAAAGCAATTGAGAATGGAGAGAAGTTGTTTATGGGAAATTCAGCAACTTCTGAAATCATGGGTCAAGGAAAGTTGGTTCTAAAGTTGACTTCGGGAAAAGAGTTAACTCTTAACAGTGTGTCGGAAATCTGCAAGAACCTTGTGTCCGGATCGCTTTTAAATAAGCATGTTTTCCTTATTATATTTAAGTCAAACAAAGTCATTTTGTCAAAAAGGTGGAATGTTTGTCGGAAAAAGCTATGTTTTCGATGGTATGTTTAAATTGAAAGTAATGATTGTTAAACCAAGAATGAATAAAGTAAACTATTCTGTTTACTTGGTTGAGTCTTCCAATGTGTGACATGGTAGACTAGGACATGTTAAGTATGATACTTTACATAGACTAGTTAACTTGAATTGCATACCCGCGTTTCATATTGATTTCAAACATAAGTGGGAAATTTGTATAGAGGCAAAATTGACAAGGTCATCATTTAAATCAATTGAACGGAATATAGAACCACTTGATTTAATTCACAGTGGCGTGTGATTTAAAATTTGTACAAACAAGAGGTGGTAACAAGTACTTCATTACTTTTGTAGACGATAGCACAAAATACTGTTATGTATATTTGCTAAAAAGTAAGGATGAAGCGATAGAGAAATTTATTTTCTATAAGAATGAAATTGAAAATCAACTTAACAAGAAAATTAAGGTGTTGAGAAGTGATAGAGGTGGTGAGTATGAAGCACCATTTGCTGAATTCTGTGCACAACACGGAATCATACATGAAACCACTGCACCTTATTCACCGCAACAAAATGATGTTGCTGAAAGGAAAAAAAACATACCTTAAAAGAAATGATGAATGAAATGCCAATAAGTTCTGAATTACCTCAGAACATGTGGGGAGAAACTGTATTGTCAGCAAATTACCTTTTAAATAAGGTTTCCCAAAAGAAATTGGAAAATACCATTTATGAGTTATGGAAATGAAGAAAGTCTTCCTATAAATACTTACGAGTGTGTGGGTGTCTTCCTAAAGTGGTTGTCCCAACACCAAAGAAGGTGAAGATAGGCCTGAAAACTGTAGATTTCATCTTTATTGGATATGCACATAACAGTAGTGCTTATCAGTTTCTTGTGTATGAATCTAAAATCTCAGATATGTACAAAAACACGATAATGGAATCGAGAAATGCTTCATTCTCTGAACATGTATTTCCATACAAGTCCAAAGAAAAGGCAAGCTCTTCTAAACAGACATATTAGACTATGACTGAAAATAATTAAGACCAAGAACAAGAAGAGGAGGTTGAGGTTCAACTAAGACGTAGCAAAATGGAAAGGACAGAAAAATCTTATGGTCTAAATTTTCTGACCTATATGCTAGAAAGTGAACCTCAAAGTTATTAAGAAGCTGTGAACTCCTCAGAAGGACCTCAATAGAAATAAATCATTAAAAGTGAAATAGATTCCATTCTGCAAAATCATACATGGTAGCTAGTGGATCTTCCTCCAGGAAGTAAACCACTAGACTACAGTGGAAAATGAAAGCAGATGGAACTATCGAAAAATACAAGGCCAGATTAGTAATAAAAGGTTATAGACAACGGGAAGGCCTTGATTATTTTAATACATATTCTCCAATAACGAGAATAACATCTATTAGGATGATACTTGAAATTGCTACTTTACGAAATCTTGAAGTCATTATATGGCTTGAAACAAGCACCAAAACAATGGCATGAAAAATTTGATAATGTCATTATGGAATATGGATTTAAAATCAATGAGTGTGACAAATGTGTCTATGTCAAAGACACTGAAAATGGTTATTTCACTTTTTGTCTTTACGTTGATGACATGCTTCTTATTGGTAGCAACAATAAGATGATCAAATCTACTAAATATATGTTAAATTCAAGGTTTGACATGAAAGATATGGGTTTAGTTGATGTCATACTTGAAATTAAAATTAACAGAACAACAGATGGATTCGTTCTAAGTTAGTCACACCATGTGGACAAAATTCTAGAAAAATTCAGTAAGGATGATACTGGCATGGCTAGAATACCGATAGATACAAGTCAACATATATCCAAGAATAAAGGTGAAAGTGTTTCTCAAGTAGAGTACTCGAGAATTATTGAAAATTTGATGTACTTGATGAGTTGTATAAAACCAGACATAGCCTACACAGTTAGTAAACTGAGTAGATATATGAGTAATTCAGGAGATGATCACTGGAAAGAAATAGTAAGGGTACTAAGGTATTTAAGATATACTCGTAATTTTGGATTGCACTATACCAAATATCCAACAGTCATTGAAGAATATAGTGATGCTAATTGGATATCTGATACAAAAGACTCAAAGTCCACTAGTGGATTTGTATTCACATTAGGAGGTGCAGACATATCCAAGAAATCCTCTAAGCAAATTGTTATAGCCTCTAGATGTTACCTTAGAATTAAATATCGAGATTTATTTACAGGTGAAGAGGGTGAGTTGTTACACAACTTCTTAGAGGATCCAAGATGGTCAAAACATGTGCCACCAATTTGCATATATGGTCAAAACCTGTGCCGGCAACCTATGCGACCTACGTACATGAATGTTAGACCTAAAGGAGCAAAATTAGCCCCTTAGGAGTGTCCACGTTTTGCTACATTTTTATTTTTCAACTGACTTTTCATTTTCTCAAACTGTTAAAACTCCTGAAACTCCTATGGTAATTACCAAGATGTGAATGGAAAGTTACAAGATCCAAATCTTTATATATCTCGATTTTTTCCAGTCTTCAACACACAAATTTTATCTGAAATTCATCTGCATACAGTTCGAGTTTGTCTTTGTTTTCAGTTTATGTTTCAGTCTTTGTGGAGATATTGTTCGAGCACTAACTCAGTTCATCGGAGTAAAATCTGTGGTACTTAGATTCTACTATTCTGTCATTGTATCTTGGGAAGTAAACGTTTAAATTATACCTCAAGCACATACGGTGAGGGGGGAATCAGTTTTAAGGAAACTGTGTGTAACACAGGCCTTATTATTGTTTCTTCATTATTATTTTTGCTTATTATTTATTACTGTATCAAATCATTGGATTTTTTATATATATAATTTAATCTGTTATAATACAAAAAAGGGTATTGTAAATACGATTTTTAAGCCTACTGCATATACGATATTCAAACTGCAAATCCGGTATCCATTCTGCATATACCGTATCTAAGTTGTAAATCCGGTATCAAGCTGTAAATCCGGTATCCATTCTGCATATACGATATCTAAATTGTAAATTCGATATTTAGTGTGTAAATCTGATATCCAGTGTATAAAACCATTATCTAAGTACTTGAAACACTTATATAACAGTCTGCACATAAGATAAGAAAAAAATAAAAAATAATAATTATTATTATTTATTTACGTACTACATGTCTTGGTTTAGTCTCAAACACTTATTTGAGAAAATTAGATTTTTGACAATGGGTTATTGGTTAAGTTTAGGAAGTTGAATCAATCAAAATTTGAAAAATTCTTATTTGTTGAAGTATTGACTTGCAATTAGAAAGATCCATCTAAATTAGAGAGGGTAAGGAGTTAGTATAAAGATGCAACCTTAAATCACATACTAAGAAAAGATTAGGAAAAGTACAAGTTTTGGTGTGTGTGAATCTTACGAGTTATGAAAGGAAAATTTTGACAATCGAGGGTTAGGAATGAAACAACTCGTGAATTTATAATGTTTTACTTAATTCTTCACACACACACACACATCAATTTTGCACTTGTGAAGTTGATATTGATTTTGGTAATGTGACATTGAAGTTGTTTATACATTTAACACAATGGTTCCAATCTTGAGACAAAACGACGGGTTATTTAACTAAAATTTTGTTGAATGTTTGTTTGTTAAGTTAGGTTATAATTTTGTTTGTGAACAAATAAATGTTTAAGTTCAGGGATGTTTGATAAGTATATTTTATAAACGTTTTTGGACTTCAAAATATCGACATTTCGTAATTCTTTTGATGAAATATAGACTAATTTATTTTACATTTTTTTATTAGGTAAACTTAATGATTGGACATGGAATTGGAAGAAATAAGAGAAATTTGTGAAATTCAAAGTTGGATGACTAAATTGTAAATATTCAATAGTTGATTCGAACCAGAATACAATGATCAAAGATTATACAAGTGGCAATTTGATGTAATTAGAAGTTGAATGAAGAAACTTTCGTGAAGAAAGCACCTAAATATGCCACCGAGAAGTCTAGGGACCAATTTGTAATTGGTCCCAGAGTTGCTAAAGTGGGATGCACGTGAGAGGAAAATCGACGTGCACACGCCAACCGCTTTTTGATTTACCGAGAGCAAATCAGTTACATGGTGCGTATGCGACATACATGTTGGCGCTCGCACATGCTGTTTAGGGACCTTTGTGTTAGTTTTCCTATTTTGCTTCAAACTCTATTTGGAAACTAATTTTTGCATGATTTTTGACCTATTTTCAACCATTATAAAACTAAACATGGGGACGTCATTGAAGAATCTCCCATACTCCTAAATTCATAATTTATTACATCGAAGAAAGGCAAAAATCAACACACTTTTGGGTAAATCAAGAGGCAATTGCAAGATATTCATCAATTGGAGATCAAAGCTTGGTCTTTGGGTAACGAAAGGAAGGCGCAACTGGAATTTATCAAGAAATCATTGAAGAGATTTCTGATTTCAAGATTCATCATCTTCTTCTTCAATTAATCAAAATTCGAGAGCTGTTTTACAAATTAATTATGAATTCTTGTAATTTTCTAATCTTAGGCTAATTTTACAATTACTAAGATATTGATAAACTCTTATTATGAAGTTTTAAATATAAATTCAATAATTTGTCACCTAATATGTGTTGATTTTTAAATGATTGTTGTAGGACTTAATAACTTTTCAATTAATTGATCACTAATTAGATTGATTGCGAATTTTATTGATTTCGAAAGAAATAATAGGATAAATAGCACTTTATAACAATTATTGTAAAATTCGATACGAGATAGAGGTATACCGTTATGCTTTGTATGATTTCTATAGATATTCTAGTATTTTTAATGCTTACTTTCATGTTTACGTCTTTTATAGAGATATATGAAGGTCACATGAGCTGATATAATTAATTGGCATCGAGAGATACTTTTAATTAATTTAAGAACATTGATTAACAAGAATGTGCACATATTGTTTTGTTATTTATTTGCTTTGAAACAGATTAATGAGAGGGGTTCAAGGTCTTAGTAATATCAAATCAAAATTTACAAAAACTTTTTAAATTGCTCAATAGAATAATTAGTTTAATTAGTTAATTCTGCAACAAAATTTGTTATTCGATTAAATTTAAAATTAATTGATCCAAGATTAAGTACATAAACCTCGTGGGAATGATATGCTACTTATCAATTTATTACTTGTTCGCGATTCTGTACGTTTACGAAAAATCAAGTGGATCAAAAACCAGTTACCTGACTCAGAAGCTTTGGCTTGGCATCCGTCGAGAAAGTAATTTCCAGCATGGGCCTACATAATCGTAAATAGAATTAAGCATTATAATACATTGGGTTAAAGTCTAAACATATATTTTTAGTTGACAATTTCAGTTATAGATCACACATATCGAAAAGGTAAATAAATTACAAGAGTTCCAACCGAAGTTTTCCTTCTATATTTTGATGGCACGAATATCACAACCAACATAAAGGGACAATTAAGATCAAGAGAATGAGTTAGCATCACTCTCAGATAGATCGGAATGAGAAATTTATTGCAAAGAACTCAATGTAGTTGGAAAAGATATATTCACATAATATTTATCATAGTGCATTCTAGAAATAATTGGATGTAGATTCCCTTTGACTTCTTATCTGTAGAAGATTAAAAGGTTTATATTGTAATTAAACAACTACCGTACAACCATTAAGATCAAAAGTATAATCTCTTATATAGTGTATTAGAAAGGACATTGGGTCTAACTCAACATAACAAAACCGACTTGTTAGGGGAGGATTGCCATTACCTTATTAAGTAAATCGTGTTAATATCACCAGCCAATGTGAGATTCTAATACGCCCTTTCACGCACAGCGTGGATTATACCAAACAACTGTGAACAAATCGATATTGGGTACACCCAACATTGTAAAACTAAGTCTGCTATGATACCATATTAGAAAGAATATTGGGTCTAACTCAACCTAACAAAACTAGCTTGCTATGGGGGGAATTGCCCTCACCTTATTAAGTAGACCGTGTCAATATCACCAGCCAATGTGGGATTCTAATATAGTGTATTCTTACCATTAAGTCTGATGCAAATACTGGTAAAAACACAAACTTTATTACGCATATTGTACTTACCACAAGAAGCAAGATACATTTGGGAGTCGAGGCCCCCTTTCTCCATGCTAAATCAATAATTACACCCTAAGAACCCGTTGTCCAAAAAAATAGGGGAGAAAGAAAACTTCCACGATATACCCTTTCCTGCCTTTCATTCTACTTTCAGTATCGCGGACTTCAAATTTTTTACATATTCAACGTTGCATCAAGAGCAAACATATCCAAACAGAATTTCCTCTTAATTGTATATTTTAACAGGCTTCTCAGACATGTTTCGGTTATGCAATTATCAGTAAAACAAAAGTAAAGGATCAGAAAACATGGTCTAGGAAATAAAGTATAAAAGATGTACTGGGATTTGTTGAAGGATATAGAACAATTGTATTTCCACTCCACTTCATTACAGATTTTGTGTACAGTATATATAGACTTTACAAGTGCTGATTCAGAGAGGAAGTTCTAAAACTGAGGCTAAGAATCCTATCAGTTACAAGTTAAAAATTGAAATAAAAAATTTCAAAAGTCTTTGATTTGCTTGATGTCGTCCATGATTGTTGCTGCTGGTTTGATTTGCAGATTTGATGCACCTTTCTTCATACGCCCCGCAAGATGGAGGTGCCATCAGCAACTCCAATCTTGTTTTTAAGAATTTCTGTACGTTGATGTGACAGAGGTTTTGTCAGGAGATCAGCAAGTTGATCTTGAGTGTTGACATGATGAACATTGAGAGTACCTTTTTGCACAATATCACGAACAAAATGTAAATCAATCTGAATATGCTTCATCCGTGAATGTTGGACAGGATTCAAACTCAGTTGAGTGGCTCCTAAATTATCACATAACAATTTTGGGGAGCCTGGGATAGTTAATTCGAGTTCAGTAAATAAAGAGAAGAGCCATAGTGTTTCGGATGAAGCATTTGCAAGTGCTCGATATTCGGCTTCAGTCGATGATCTAGCAATGGTCTTTTGTTTTTTGAACTCTAAGTTATGGGATTAGGACAGAGAAAACTAATATAAGCAGAAGTGGATTTTCGATCATCAAGATTACCAGCCCAATCAGCATCGGAGTATGTGGTTAGAGTGAAGATGAGCTTTTCCAGATGTGAATCCCATGAAAAATAGTATGCTTCAAGTATCGAAGCAATCTTTTGGCGGTTGTCCAGTGAATTGTTGTAGGTTTGTGCATAAATTGAGACAATTTGTTCACAGCATATGAGATGTCCGGGCGTATAAGAGATAAATATTGCAGG